TCCCAGGTCACAGTTCTCAGGGAGCCCAAGGTAGGAGCTCAGGGCAGGAACCTAGAAGAAAGAGCTGGAGCACAGGCCATGGAGGAAAGCTGCTTACTGGATTCCTCCTCTGGCCCCTGCTCAGCCTGCTTTCTTATGCAACACAGGCCCACCTGCCCAGGGGTGGCACCACCCACAGTGGGCTGGGACATCCTACATCACTCATCAAGATGTCCCTCAGACATGGCCACAGGCAGTCCAATGAAGGCATATACACAGGCCCACCTGCCCAGGGGTGGCACCACCCACAGTGGGCTGGGACCTCTCACATCACTCATCAAGATGTCCCTCAGACATGGCCACAGGCCAGTCCAATGGAGGCATATCCCCAGTTGAGGCTCCCTCAACCCAGGTGTGTCAAGTTGACACTAAAGCTATCCAGCACACTGACACATCTTTGTTACCTAAGCTTATGATTTACATTAGGGTTTGATCGTGATATAACACATTCCATGTGTTTGGGCAAACATGGGATACAACCCAGGATACCATTTCAGTATCATAGAGAATATTTTCATTCTTGCAAAAATCTGTACTTGATCAATTCGTGCCCTCCTTTCTCAGTTTCTGGTTACCACTTTTTATTTTAATATATTCACAGTTTTCTGTTTTCCAAAATTTCATGTAGTTGGAACCACAATGGGAAGATTTTTGGGTTGGCTTCTTTTACATGGTAATATGAAAATAAGTTTCCTTCGTGGATTCTCATGGCTTCATGGTAATTTCCCTTAATACTAATTAATAATCCAATCTGTAGATATGATATAGTTTATTCACCTGCTGAAGAGCCTTGCTATAAACATCTATGGGCATGTTTTGTGTGAAAGTAAATTTTCCATGCAGCAAATTTCCGTATGTATTTGATTGTGCAAATTCAAATAATCTTCCAAATGACTGAACCACTGCATCTACACCACCAGTGGTAATAGCTCCCATTATTTGCTGCCTTGATAGAATTGATCTCACAGGTTTTTTGGATTATAACCACTGTCAAAAATGAAGAAAGCCAGGTGTGGTGGCACACACCTTTAATCCCAGCACTCAGGAGGCAGAGGCAGGCAGATCTCTGTGAGTTCAAGGCCAGCCTGGTCTACATAGTGAGCTCCAGGATAGCTGGGACTACAAGGAGCCCTTGTATCAAAAGACCAAAAAAGAAATGAAGAGACACAGTGCTGGACATTTTCTGATGTTCAAAGAAATTGACCCTCTGAGATGCCAGCAGATGGAGGTGGCATTTGGGAGAAAATGAAAAAACAAATGAAGAAAAAATCAGTAAGTTGTTCAAGGCAGGACTGAAGGATAAATGCCACCCTTTCCTTATGTGCCTACTTGCTTCACTTCTTTGCTTGTAACATCAAAGTTCAAAATTAGAAAAATGCAAGTGAAAGCCAGGTGTGGTCCCAGCAGAGGCACAAGCTGGATCTGTAGTACCATCAGGCTGGTGACTAAAACAGGAAGTCAGGAGTCTGAGGCTATACTACCTTTCATTTTGAGACCTTATCTCAAAAAGCAAAGAAAACAATATCAAATGAGGAAATATAAATAAATGCCCAACATGTTGTCATGTGGTTTAGAAGTAGAAAGAACCTTGGGGAGGAAACAAGCCCCCGTGCTGCTGCCTGTTGCCTGAGGTCACTGAGTCAAACCTGAACGACAGTCTTTCCATCATGCCCTGTGTTTTGCATTGATGTCTGTTAAAAAAAAAAAAAACTGTCCTCTTTTTCTCTTATTTGTTTGTTTAATATATTTTAAATTCATGGGTTTTGGATCATTCATGGTTGATGTCTTCAATGTATATTTCATCCCTTATTCTAAAATAATGAAAATTATTAAAGAAAGGAACAAAAATCCCCCAACCTAACCAGTCATTGCCTTTTCCCCTTTTCCATTCACTCATAATTACAGGACAGAACACTGAGTGGATCCAGTTTCTTCTGCTATTGGAACCTAGATGGAACTCATTGGACAGATTACAGAAAATATAGAGAAACAATAATTCAGCATGGGTCCCTTTGGTCCTAGTTACAGAGTCTTCTTGCAGCTGGGCACATGCTTGTAATAATCCCACTCAGTCTCAGAAGGAGACAATAGGTCAATCTTGACTTAATTCTTACTCAGAGAACTGGAGTTTTTTAAATGTTTCTCAGATATGTGTGTGGTAACAACTACTGGACCTTGAGTTAAAACTTTGTGGTGACTGAGAAACAATAAACAGTTAGTGAACTGGACCCAGAATCTGACAATTCAATTTCGAATCCTGTGTATCCTACTTACAGTTTCTATGACATATGAATGCTTTTTAATGTCTCTGATACTCAGCATTGACATAAGATGTCTTTTTTGTTGAGACGATGACATTGAGTAAGAATGGTTGTTCCCTTTGGAATTAATTGTAAATTGTATAGTAAATAGGGAAAATAAGATGTATGTATTATTACTAATAATAGCGAGGCTAGGTGGCATATCATTTAGGCAAATACCCTGTAACCCGAAATTTATATTTTCCTATTTCTGGTTGGCACATTTTATTTTTATGCCTCTTCATGCTTATTTTGTTTCATAATATTTCTAATCCAAGCATCTTTTTTTTATTATTTTTATCCTATTTTTTTTTAATTTTTAAAAATGATTTATTTAATAACAACATACTTAGAAGAAGCATATCATTACAACACAATTGACATATTCAATAACGTTTTCCTGAGGTAGGATGCATCTCTTTCAAATTTGGCTGTAAATTTTTAGGTTTACAGTTGAATTATTACAGTTATA